ATACGCTTTTAGACAGGAAGGCAGAATATTTTCCACCTCTCACTGCTTAAATGCCTGTAGATTTTATTTTTTTCGTTTTGGTCCACGTAAATTTTTGTTTGCTTTGGCAACACTGATTGTACCCATCAGTCATGCTAATAAAGCACCTTGAATTGAATTGAATCGAGGGGTCAAGATTTCCGTGCTTGTGTCTGGAATCTCCACCACAGCAACTCGGCCTTCCCTCTCTCCCTGAGCAGCAGGAGGCGAGAGTCAATGGGTCTCTCTCCTGCCCGCCTGGCCCTGCAGTTTTCCTTCCTCGGATTTCAAAGAAATCTGATTAATTTCCTCATGTTCCCTGCTACCAGCTGGCCTAAGAGACGCCATCAAAGTCGGCGACGTCTAATCTGCTTCGAATGGGATGGACAAAGCGCTGGCAAAAACGAAATAGAATATTTCGCACGATCGATGACCATTTGTTTCTGACTTTTCTAAAGCAGCTTTCGCGAGGCAGGCCTGCTTCTGCAGAATTCTGCCTCGTAGGCCCGGTGCTACAGTGACCGTCCCCGAAAGTAATGAAATGATGAATACTGGACATGAAAGAGCCCTGTCTTCCCTCGCTAACCTTTCACAATGCTACTCAGCCAGAATTCTTCATTCGTGAGGCATCTCTCAGCCCAGACGAGTGGATTAGGTCCCTCTGTTCATCCATGGTGACGATACAGTCGATCAATTTGAAATAATTACTGAAAGGCTGCAATTGTCGACTTGTTTTCTGCTCTGGCATTGCGTAGGCGCTCCATCTGACAGGTTCGTGTGGTAAAATGACTAAGGGTGATTCACACTCCTGTGTTTCTAGAATTTCACTGTCCGTTTCTTGCCATTTCTTACAACGGACACCACTCGGGAGCTCGTGTTTGACTCCAGATGAAAATACTGTGGATAATCGTGCAATGCTGGTGTGAGTTCCACGTTGGCACTCATAGAACATTACCACCTTCTTTATCGTTTGCACTGCGTAACCTGAAAATTCAATTAACTACGCAATTGAAGGGAGATCTGGACTATTTTCTCGAGAGGGGTCTTTGTGCTGCCGGGACACAGTGTTTAATTGTTAAAACCTGCACACGGGAGCTGGCAGGGCTGGTGGCAGGGCTGTGCCGATTAAAGGGACTGGGAGAATCAGGGCGGCTCTCCAGATCGTTGACAGTCTTGCCCAAGGCAGGGTCCAGACAGCCCAGCAGAGAGCTGGTGGGACCAGCTGGGCCTCTGCGCTGCTCCAGAGAGAGAGAGGGGAGGCCTCTTTTCAATCAGAGCAGCTTAACGACGTGAAGCAGAAGGGGCTTTGGGCACACAACCGCATCCCCTGTGGTGCCCTCTGTACTGCAGCCTGTTCCTCGCTTTCCA